CTTTTTGCCATATTGCTTTGATGGGAACATCTAAAGTTATTATTACCGGATTTTTTTTTCAGCTACAACTTTGCGGAAGATCGTTATTCAGCCAGAGGTTAGTTTCGACTATGGTCAAAATTCATCATGCGATACCTCAAATCACATGAGATTTCATCTATCATCACTCATCGTATGATCTCATTGAGCACTATTGTTGGAATTTCTATTAGTAAGAAGGGTCAAATCTCACCAAAGACATTGATATAGGGGAAACGCTTCAATAGTCGCTGTATGTTAGAAGCGTTAGGTTCCTATAGTTGTGTATGGAGACTCCATACACAACTATAGAAACCTAACGCTTCTAACGTACCGCAACTATAGGAGCGTTAACCCTAGCTAATATGTATTAGAGTCGCGCAAAAATTGGTCAATTTCAAATTGGTGTATTTCTGTTAAAATGCATTGAAAAAAAAACTTGAAATGCTGCATTTGGAAGTTGAGTATATATACAATGGTTGCTATGATGACTTTTCACCGTTTGCTCTCCAGTTTTCAAATTTACGTCCAAGCAAGAGAAGCAGCGTGTCAAAATTTTGATCCGACGTTCTTACACGCCAAGTTGGCGAAATTGCTGGATGTGGCCAAATCGACCGTGGCAAACGTTTTAAAAGTGTTCGGAGAGCGTCTGTCTACCGCCAGGAAGCCTGGATGCAGCGGCAATCGTAATCCGGACGTGGCAGTGACGACAATGAAGGTGGCGGTGGAATATAAGCGGAATCCTAACCTCTCCATCCGGAAAGTCGCTGGCAAGCTCAATGTCTCCCAAACTACTGTGCAGCGGGCCAAGAAACGAGCCAGGTTGTCGACGTTTAAGAAGGTGAAGGTGGCGAACCGAGATTTCAAACAAAACACGTCGGCAAAACAGCGGTCCCGAAAGCTGTATACGAATCTGCTCACAAAGTTCGACTGTGTCGTCATGGACGACGAAACTTATGTGAAGGCGGATTTCAAGCAGCTTTCGGGACAGAAGTTTTATACTGCATTTTCAAAACCATCAAACTATCGAAGCTCCCGAAAAAATATCTCTTCTGGCAAGCCATATGCACGTGTGGTCTAAAAAGCTACATTTTCATTACTACGGGTACCATCAATCGAGAGATCTACGTCCAAGAGCCTGCCTCGAAAAGCGACTGCTACCATTCCTAAAACAACATAATAGACCTGTGCTGTTCTGGCCGGACTTGGCGAGCTGTCACTATGGGAAAAAGGGATTCGAGTGGTACGATGCGAACAACGTGGTTGTTGTACCCTAAATAAGGCCACAACCCTCCCAACAGCCCAGAACTCCGCGTTATCGAACGGTATTGAGCTTTGGTCAAACGGAATCTAAAAAAAAAAAAACTAAAATATCCATGGAAAACGAGCAGCAGTTTAAATCTAACTGGCGTTCGGCGGCGAATAAGGTCGATGAGACCCCTGTGCAAAATTTAATGGAAGAGGTTAAGTGGAAGGCACGGCAGTTCGGATTTGGCAAACTAAAAGAACATTTGTTCCTTTAAATATATGAATTTAACTACCAAAAGAAAAATAAGAAGATATATGTGATATGAAAGAAACGTTTTTTTTGTTGATCAATTTTTGTGCGTTTCACTCTTTATTTTGAAAGGGGGCAGGCATCCTAAGCAACCCCTTCAGCTGCGCAAATGGTCCATCAGTGGATCAATTTAGGTTTTCTTATTGTGAAGAAACCATGCAGAATAAAATAAACAAGGGAGTAGAGGGTGTATGACGAAAAGATATCAGATGGTTCTACTGTTATGAGATGTACTGTTTAGTTTAGCAAGGGAGGCATCGCATCTTATTCGTAATTCTAGTTGCTTGAAAATCTCACACTACCGAATCAATCTACGAAAAATCTTCTTTAAAAATTTTGCATCTACTTGCATCGTGCATAATATGTTTGCAGGAAATCTTCAGAATAGTCATCAGTCTTCTTTCTATCTACTCAGTGTGCGCGCAGCTAACCTGAGAAAACAAAATCTTTCCTGCATCGTAGATAGAACCACCCCCTTAGCTGTTTATGATATCTTCTCACCTAAAAGTTGACTGAATGTTGTTGCAAAATTCCAATAAATACTAAGTGATTTCATTCGATTCAATTAGCTCAACTGAAAATTGGGTTGTTAGCTAAATGCTTTTAAACAAATCAGCAAAAACAAATAATTTTGGTATCCATGACAGATACGCATTTTGACTGCAATGTGCAGTCTTCATCAGTGTCATTCCCACTAAAGAACTTATCAAAACCTAACCCCCTTAAGTTAAAATGTCAAGATCACAGGTATAAAAATGATACTACAATGTTTAGAATCGGAACCTACCTAACTAAAAAACCAAAATTTAAGTAAACTAAAGGAGAAAAATCAATTCAAATCTCTTATAAGAAAAAATCCCCAAAGGCTTGGTAGCCATCATAATAAAGTGATGAAATTGGGTTGTTAGCGGAATGCTTTTAAATAAAACAGCAAAAACTTCAACTGAAAAACTGCTTCATTAGCTATAGTTCCTACAGGCAAACACGTTTATCGAAATTCACACACCAGGGAGTCAAGGTCTTCTCTTTAGGCTACTCTTCACGTTTATATTGACAGCTCTAAGCGATTTTCCACTTGCCTGCAAGGAGGTTCGCACTTGAAAAAAAAAAAATTCTATCGTACGAATTCCTTCCACGAAACATCACGAAAGCCGTCGTCGTCATCTTCTTCAGGGAATGCCATATATCGAGGGGCTCATTTCAATTGCAAAGCTCCCCGTACTACACTCTACAACCCAAGGCTTATAGGGTAAATGGGGGTAAAATGCCCATAGCGGGTGAAATTCGCCCCCCTCTAATCTCAGCAGCTAGTTGTTATGATGACGAAAATTTACTGCCATACGTTGAACTTTAAACGTACTATGAGCATGGAATCAAAATGCTATTTAATAAAAGTCATATGAAATTTATAAAATTGAAAATCATTGCTTACCACTACTCCACCAGCGCCGCTAGGAAAACAGGTATTTGTTGGTATTTTATTTTAACCATTTTAATCCGTTAACGCCCAAGTCGTTTTCGGCCTCCGGACAATGCGTAATTTTTCTAGGATTGATTAAATGATTATTCTCACACTTTTTGAAAACAAGATGTTAAGGATATTCCAAGGCTCATTCTAGTGATATTGGGTTATTTAGGGGGTACATATTCGTTATCTGCATTAAAAATGGAACCGACATCCAAAATGTCATCAATTTTGGTACACTGGAACTATTTTAAATAAGTACGATTACATTAGCAAAAATTACTATCTTAGCGCCCCTTGGTGGGACTTTGTATGGGAGCGAACTGTCAACGAATAGTTTTAGTGTCAACGATCAAAAATTTAAATCTTGATTTAAAAATCGAGATGAATGTCTACGGGATTGATAAAAATATCGTTGTGCTCAGAAAACGAAGTTCTATCAGATGATGTGTAAAAGTCGGTATGTTTTCCGAATTTAAACAACCCAATTTACGTTTCAAATTTCTGTTGAGACATGATGAAAGCAACAACAAAATGCTAATCTATAAATAGATCACTGGGCGTTAATGGGTTAAGCAAGAATTTAGCAATTTTCGTCAAGCATATCAATTGCAATATCTTGCCAACAGCCTAATGCAACATTCAGATGGCATCGCACTTAAATGTCGATTCGCCTTGTGGATTAAACGGAGATCTTCCTAAGCATGGGCATTTTACCCCCATCTCCCCTACTAGAAATCTCGCTCGCGCTGTTCCACATCTCTAATGGCCAAACTGAAAACATGTTACGGGCCTTCGCGTCGGACTCCATAATATTACCGTTTCCGAGCACGTTCACCATGTTCGAGTATTTAGGGGGAGATTTTTATTCCATTTTCTCTCTTTTACTGGGCGGTGGCAAAGATTTTCCAGACTGTCAGAGCACCGAATCCGAAATGAAGGAGGAGGAGAATTCAGGAGAACAATAAAATTATTGTTTCCGGATCTTATCTGCTGCTACTAGTCGTCGTTGTCGTCCTCGTCCGAAGCGGACTTTTGTATATCCCGGTCATGAATGAACTCTGATGGGTGGCGTGTACAATGCAAGTAATGTGAGCAAGGCGGCAACAGTAAGAAAGCATGTAGGTACCTAGTGGTAGGTCAAATTCCTCCGATACGATGGAGCTTTGCAGTCGTGCATGTAAAAACGAAGGAAATTGGTATGCTCTTGTCGGAGTGCCAGGAAATCTTTGAGGAGAGCTTCGGTGGTGGGAAAAGGGTAACATTGACTGCATGCACGATTTATGGTTTAATTAAGTTGAAGTGATTATGTGGTTTTGTGTTTTAATGCCGAACGAGACCGAAATCTTGAGGCAGAAGATTTATGCCCAGTATGTGTGTTCAGTCCTAGCTAAAACCCGTTCTGTCTTTAAGGCGACGATGAAAAAACTTTCTTCCATGGAGATATCGAATAGTGTGAATTATGGGACAAATTATCTTTGACTACGACATGGAATGCAGAATAGAATTTCGTATGGAAGGTGCAGGAAAAAATGCATCGAGCAATAATTGATGCACGACGGGTTTTCAGGGTCATTATCTGAAGTGATCTATGCTAGACCTATTTTGACATAAATCAGATGACAAAATTGAATAACAGTAGGAGTATTCACAAAGCTCATCGTAAACGTATACATACATGGGCCCTGGTATTTTTACGATGGTGTATATGTTTACGATGCGCTTAGTGAATACCCCTAGTATGTTTTAGTTTGTGAAGAGTGAAGGAATACATCCCAAGCATCATTGCTAATTTAATCAAGTTTTTGAAGCCGTCTTTAAGGCCAAATCAGACTCTGCTGAAACCAAAATTATTACTTGGGAATCCCTAGTTGGGGTACCTTCTCTCCCTCAAGATTACATGCTTGCTCGTCACCCAACCAAACAATTCCATCAGGTATTCCATGAAGTAAGTAAAATAAATCAACACGTTCGGAACCGTCAGAACCCGTCCAAATTCCATGTCTGATAGGGACCAAATTTTCGACGTCCTCATCGTAGGCGCCGGTCTATCCGGGCTGTGTGCAGCCAAACGTATCCGAGACAAATGCTCTCGAGACGTCATCCTCAAAGTGCTGGAAAAATCTTCAAGAGCAGGCGGTCAGCTGGATAGTTTCCAGTCACGATGGGTCACAACCAGTCATTTCCACGCCATTGAGCTTTGCCGAGAGCTGGGAACCGAACTGGTCGAGCTGAGACAAATGGTACGTGTGGATCCAAGCCTGGCAACAACGGCCGAACGAAAATTGCGTGATGTGAGCCCATTTGAGGGGCTGATTTTCGGTACCCTGGCAAAGATTGAAACCAACCGACTGATGACGGAAATTGACTCACTGTGTGCAACAAGATTTATCATCGAGGACCCGTTGAATATGGATGTGTTTCTTGAAAGGAAATTGCTGCTAGATGCTTCGAAAGATTTCTTTCGGTTTGTAATAAAAATCAGCTGTGGCTTCCATCCAATAGAATTGAGCGTTACTGACTGGTTGAAGTTTTGTCGCTCGATGTCATCGATGAGCGGCATTTATGAAATGTTGAATAGAAACCTGACGCATTTGGTTCCAAAAGAAGGATGGAACGAACTGGTGGATCAGCTAGTCGAGACAATTGGAGAGGAAAATATAACATTCTCAACAAAAGTCACTCGAGTGGAACTTACTGCCGAAGAGGATCTCGTTTCGGTAGCTGATGAGAACGGATGCATCTGGAAGGCTCGAATCGTCATTTGTGCTGTTCCATGCGATGAGTTACAGCGAATCGATTTTATCCCGTCTCGTCCGACATTCTTCAGAATGCCAAATTTGAATGCAAATATTACACACGTGACCAGTTTCAAGGTTTGGTATGAATCATCCATCTGGAGAGATCACGGCTATTCGGGTAGCTTATTCCTTCCGTCGTACCGAATGTTGTGCTTTGAAAGAGAAGATGGTCTACTGGAGGGCTCGTTCTTTCATATGGATAATTTGAACGAGTTCGAAGCAAGGTGGGCAATCGTCAATATCCTGAGTCTACAGTTGCATTGTCGTTCACTTCTACATCCTGTGAATTTCCAGTCAAACCGGTATTTTTTGCCGTACTACTTTGAAGTGCCACCATCTTTCCGACGGAGGATTATATTTGCTTCTTCCAACGCCAGCTGCTGGTACCGTGGGTTCATCAACGGATCCGTACAGGGAGGTAAATTCCTAAACTACTCATTATAAAGCAATTGTCGTAAGCCTCGAGCCAGCATCGTCGTTGACATCATCAACGACACCATCATCATTAGTTACAATAACAAAGTTGGTATGCTCCTTCTCCCATCATATGCAGGAATAAAGGCAGCCATCCTGGCACTGCTTGAAGTGCGGCCCCAAATCGTCAACTACAAGGATGTTACCGACATGCAGTGCATCCACTTCAAGTATTTTCAACGATGCTCCATACTAGAGCGCCTTTGGTGTTCGGTTAATCTATCGAGCGTAAGTCGATTTGTGGCGGTTGCAGCGACGATGGTTGCCTCTTGCGTTGTGTTGCTTGGGTTCACCAAAAATATTACCGGTTTAAGTGAATTTGAGTCTGAATAAATCCAAACGGAATTTCGGTGGTTTGAAGCATTTGATTAAATCACATCCTGAAACCGGATACTAACCTCTTTCAAGCATCTAAAGGTAAGCGCTTGTAAATTCAATTATCGTTATCACCCTCACTTAGCACCGCAAGCAACCTTGCCCAGAGCTGTCCACAAGACTTTCCAGCCACACTGCCGCTGACTGCCAGCCAGCTGTCGGCACCTTCTCATTGGTAGGCAAGCTACTAATAAGTCGACGTTTATAATTATTCCAATTAATTAACGGACTTCCGCTTCGCTTCAATATACATACCTACTGAGCTGCCATGATGCGGCTATGATACTTGCTCCGGTCGCCACAAATTATGCGAACCACCTATACGATGATGAGTCTCGTTCCACTCTTGGCCCAGTTTACGTGGCGAGAAGGGCTTTAATTGCTGATGTCGTGGTGTCATGCCCTATGTATAGTAAATCCTGTATAGTTAGGTGGTATTTCATATATTGAGAATGGAATGTAGTTCAACCTCTTTAAAATAGAAAAGCAATTCTTGGTCTTGGACTTGGAATCATCAGCCAAAGGGATAATTAAACCGTTGGGGTAAAATGAGCACCCTGTCGGGGTGGTATAAGCGACCTTGTAAAAAACGGGTAAGAATATTTTGTTCTCTTGAGGCTTTCTGAAGGGTCAACAATGATCCCAAGCAATACAAATGTTCTATAACAGTGTATATATCCGGAGAACTTTGAGATTTGGGCACAATTGCTTATGTAAACAAACACTTCAGTAACCATTCCTCTGCTTGTTCGTGTATTAGTTTTTTAGATTGAGCTTTAATTCACGATATATCGGCAAATGACGTGTTTGTTTACAAAAGCAATTACTCCCTAATCTCGAAGTTCTCCGGATATCCTTTATATGACTGGTTTTGGATGTATAGCAGTTTACTCAACACAATTCTTTGAATTCGTGTTACTTGGGATCAGTTTTACCATAAAACGGTGTAACAGAAACAATTATTTTCTGCACAATAAGTTAAATTTCAGGCGTACTGCCTATTTAAGGCTTTATTTGTTCAGTCTTGTGAATGACATGTTCAGTATTCACTCGGCTGTCGACAGAAGCAGACCACTCTCGATGTGTGTCACGCAATCGTCTGTCTGTTTACTCGACAGCAACCAGGGCCCCACAACGTCACTTTCAATCGAAAATCGTCAAGTGACGATGAAGCTGTCAACCATCACTTTCAATTGAAAGTCATTCTGTCTTCTCGTCGAGCAGATCCCCGTCAACATCAACAGAACCACTTTCGATCGGTTTTCATTCTGTTTGTTTTGGCTTGACTCGTGTTCATTTCTTCTTTCATTGCATTGAAGCGAAGTTGTTCGATCCAAATTAGCGCAGTTTTTATGACTTTTGTTTATTGTTCACTCGGTTCATTTAAGCGTGTGCGCATAGATCTGTGCACGTGGTTGTAACATGTATCATTGTTGGGTGGTTTGTTTAACCATCAATATGGGTATTTTTTTAATCGGGGTGACGTCTAGAGATCGAAAATTGATATGCGATGCCATTTTTAAATCCAAAATGGTGGCATCCAGCTTAAGAAAAAGTGGAAAATATTGTCAAATACCCATCAATATAGGTATTTTTGGAATCGGGATGATGTCTAGAGGATGAAAATTGATATCGATATCCGACGCCATTTTGAAATCGAATATGGCAGCTTCCGATTTACGAAATAGTGGAAATACAATCATATACACATCAATATTGGTATTTTTTGTAATCGGTATGAAGTCTACAGACCTAAAATTGATATGCGACGCCAATTCGAAATCCAAGATGGCGGCTTCCGATTGTAGAACAAGTGGAAAATATTGTCAAATACCCATCAATATAGGTATTTTTGGAATCGTGATGGCGTCTAGTCTATTTCTGAAAAAAATGGGAAATGCTGATTCCGTCCCATCAATATGGGTATTTTTGGAATCGGGGTGACGAGATTGGAAATCAATATCCGACGCCATTTTCAAATCCATGATGGTGGCTTCCGGTTTAAGAAAAAGTTGTAATTTTTTTAGAAACGTCTAGAAGCCGCAAATTGATATCCGACGCCGAAAATTGATGTCACGCCGTCTTTAAACCCAAGATGGCGGTGTTCACGCCGAACTTGAACTGCTTAAGATTATACTTATTTTGACCACCATGGGCACCCACCCATAGCTCATAGTGCAGAAAGGCAGATTCTCTCCTTGCTACCTTACTTGAGATTCCACTGTTATCGTATTATCTCTACCTAAACAGCTGATAGCAGTCGATGCTGAAAAACAATAGTTTTTTTGACTATTTTGAGCTTCTCCACTATTCTTCACAGATCTCATATGATCATACTGATCAGACTGGAGGCTATTGTCCTATCTATAGTCACAGGATCGATGGAAATATATGCAGCTGGTCAATCGTATACAAAGACAGTATAGGAGATAGTGTAAACTTCCAACTGCTCTCCACCCCCCCTCCCTTCCTGAAAAGCAACAGCATGTAGCCAGCCCGGGCGATCCGTCTCTAAAAACGTGTGGCTTAAGCGCCACTTCACAAGGGAGACCACACGCCCAATGTAAATTTGCCCGGTTGAGACTCTCCTAAGGGCGAGTCCATTCAATTTCCTAGAAAGGATTTACGGATCAGGCAAGCCGGCTTTCAACTAAACGTCCAAAACGGGAAAACCCTATTATCCCCATGAAACCACAAACACGATAGTCACTCAGAGAGTCGGTGAGAGCTCACCCATACCTAAAAACCTCTACAAAAGAGAATTTATCATCATCGGCAGTCTCGTCACTTGCCACTAGACGTCACCCCGATCTGGAAGTGGACTACTCTCCCGAACATTCAAACTCTCAACATGAGGACGGGACACGAGAACTACAACGGAGAACGCGAAGTGATGTCGAATACATTCAATTAATTAAAGCTAGGGAGATGGACATTTTACGAAAACATTTATTATCACGGAACTATTCAGGTGGTATATTTAGTGCATAACATTACTTATCCTACGTATATTTCTTTACATGTTCCAATCGATTTTGGTTTCCTTGTGTGTGTTCGCTCCTATTTCCTATGTGTGTGCGATTTCTCTCTCCCTAACTAACGTGCTCATGTGCTCTACTTAATCATGTGTGTGACGTCACTTTATCGGCAACTCAGCTCCAAACGAGTCTGCGCTCCTGGTGACAACGACGTTGGCGTTGAAAAACGTTACTTTTCAGAGGCGGGAATGCCACATCACGAGTTCCGGAAAAGCGTGTCACGGAAACTCGGCGCTACTCGCTCATCAGTCTTAGACTGGCAAAAAATCACTCCGTGGCGCCCTCGCCGGACGCCACACTCCAAAAATAGAAAAGGCTTGACTCACCAGATGATGTTGGTTTACGTGATGGTCACAGTCGATGACCTATCGACAGGTTCGACGCACTCTTTAGGGATCGTCGATGGTGATCCGATGAATGGAGGTGCTTCGCTGACAATGGCATTTCACACGCCGATGCGATGGCGGTTACTCTGCCGTGCCGGTAGGTTGACGAACCGGCGGGTGGACCGTGTCCACGTGGAGATCCCCTGAGTTTCCTCGGACCGATTTCGTGACGGATCCGTCCGCTTCCGGCCGGTTGGCGATTGCCGGGAAATTCCGTCCGTTGGGGAGAAGTTGCTGCGTTTGGGCACGGTGAATTGCTGCGAACGATTTTACACGACTACACCAGAACAGTGAGCACAAGCACGAGCACGGACATGGACAGCACATATTGAGCACACCAAAAATTACCTGTAGATTTATCTAGCCTTTCTCCTGATCGCACACAATTCTCTACACGCACACTTATTCTACTAGCTAAAGGAACGAACAAAAATCTTTAATTAATTTTAAACACTAGACATCACTTTAAATTACATACTTTAACTAGGGAAAACGACCACGAACAAACGCGCGCACTTCAAGAACGTTGGGAAGTCACGGACGAAATGATCGAGACCGTGAATCCTCAGATAAAGGAAAGTAAAACTCGGACGAACCGGAAGTCCATCATTTCCCGAAACCCTTCGTGTCCTATCGTGAATCTAACAACACGAAAGATAACTTGGCTCGTTTAATAGCGCGACTGTCCCTTTCCTACCTTATCCATAAATTAAATGGACCCGTCTTAGGAAAGATTTCAACAAAAATGCTTGTGTCTTCCTACTGCCTACCCTAAGGAATTTAATTCAAACAATTTAACATTATCAAATTATATACAAATTTATACAAAATTCCTGATCGTTACAAGCAGCACCTCAGTAGTAGTAGCAAATCAAACCAGGAGTTAGTTTGTTGACCGCCGAAGCAAACGTTCCTCTTCTGCACGGACAAACTCCGTGCATCGCGCGCGCTCGCTCGACCTGTGGCACTTCTCGCCCTCAGACTTGGAAAGGGTGTAGTAAGAATTGTATATACGTGTAAATAAAGTGGACAATTTTACTGTAAAGGGTTTCATGCGCAAGATTACTGCACCCCGGCCCTGAGTATCGACCAGTATATCCCGGCGTCAACAGGCGGCTTTGGTTCAGAAAAACTGTGAAATACTGTCCAATACCGATCAATGTGGGTTTTTTGGAATCGGGCTGACATCTACAAGCCAGAAATAGATGTGCGAGGCCATCTTGAACTTCAAGATGGTACCTTCCAATTTCAGAAGAAGTGTCAAATAGCCTACAAATGGCATCATAGGGGAAATGTCTCTAATGTTGGCCTATGGATCTAAGATTGGGCCCATCGCTAAAAATCTGCTATTTATTAATTGTATCTAGATGAACGCGTTATTGGGACGTTACTAATGGATATTTTTGGTCGATTGCTGAATGGGTTGTATGGGCCCAAATTAGGAACACTTAGGCCGACATTACCTGCATTTCCCCTATATCGATTTTCAGCATCTATGCGTGGTCACCGTTCCGAAAATACCTAGATCTTAGGG